GCACGCAGCAGCAGTGAGGATTAGCTGCTTGTCTAGAACAGATCAGTTTATCCTTCTTAAAAGAAGGGCAGAAGAGTCATTCTGAATTTATAGGCATGGAAACTTGAAACATAAATTGCAGTACTCCATGTAACCATGTATGAAGATGGAGGAAGACAGTCACATGTTTCCTGCTCATTAGTTACAGGACTTGGAAAAGATATTCCCCTCTCTTTTAGGCAAGATGTTACACAATTGGTCAAGTCTGTCCTTAGGCTCTCTACCTTCCAATAAAACCTAAGCATGGGTGCCTTTGCATTGGCTTGCCTGGCTCAGTGAACTAGTTGATCGTAACTGCTCATTTTTTTGGCTTGACACAAAAGAAGAGGGTGGATGAAACCCAGGATCAGGTGTCTGTTTTGAAGAGGAGTCTGTTTTAAATGTGCTTCTCCCACATTTGCTCAAGGAGACGCGCCACGCTCCTGGTATTGCATTCAACATATCTTTCTTCTTGAAACTGTTTATCCACTCACATAATTAAAAGGGTATGTAAAATACCAAGTCTTGCGTATTTCTAGAAGCATAGATTTTTGTCTCATCTCCCTAAATGACACGTACTGCCAAACTACAATAGATGTTTAAAGAATGGGGGTGGTGGGTAGAAATCGCTGCAATTTCGAGTGTCTACAGAGATAGATCTTTTGGTTTGTTAGTAATTTGGAATTTGAGATCCTGAGCTCACCAGGCCATATTTCAGGACAATATTTGCAGCATTTACGCCTTTTTTTTTTTTAAATATACAAAGGAACAGTATTATTTTACCAAAGAGTCATTAAACAAGCTGACAAAAGGCTATAGCCAAATAAAAATAGGCTGCTTTTTTTCCAGAAAAAAAGTGCAATTAGACCTCATGATTGTGCTGCACCCTGTACCAAGTGAGGTTCCTGTAGTGGAATTAAGGAGCGAACACACCCAGTCTGAAATGTGAGGCTTAATTTTCAGCTGTGAGTTATTCCTGGTTATGATCTCATTTTATGCCATGAAAGTGATCAAATAACATTAGCTCCTGAGTGTAATTTTTTTCAAAGGGTGATGCTTATTAAAGTCAAATGGAGTCCTGGCAAGAGTCCAAAAGCTGTGAAAATTTGACAGTAAAAGCACGACTTATATGCATGAAGATTTGCATTCCAAAATCCAAAACCTTTATTCATGCTGAACAACTTGAGGCTGTCTTTAGTTACATAAATCCAACACTTTACTTACCTTTAAATGTTGGTGTTTCATTTTTTCCTCTTCCACTTTTAGACGTTTCTGTGTAATTTCTTCTTGCAGTTTTCTTTTGTCCTACAAATTAAGAGAACAATAAAACTCTATTTAGAGAAATTACTTGTTGCTAAAAAAATTGTTTTAAGTGTTGTTCAGTAGGGTGAAATCAATCCATACAAATAAAGCCTTATTTTAAAGCTTATGTGGTGCTCAGGCAGTGCATAATTCTTAGCAACAGCTCGTGTTCTATGCAGGTACAGTCTCCATTACTATTGCTCTGAAGTAAGTTGAAACATGTTAATGACCACGAAGCAGGGATGATGCAAATTAAAAATAATTTACTGTTGGGAAGGGCAGGGGAAGAAAACAGGAAGAAATAACGCTTGAGCACAATCGTACATGCAAAATGAGGTTAGCAATGGGTCCTGACCAAAATTCCTGAGGCAGCCCACACATCATTTAGGAGAGGGAAGAGTCTGCATGGTCTACACCGTGCAGCTGTGATACATCGCTAAATGAAATGGGCTGTTGCTGAACTTTAGAAGGAAAAACCTCAAGTAGTGCTGATCTATCTTAGTGCCACCTTCATCCTTTTTGCTACAGATTATAGAAAAAAGGAAATGGGTGAACAGTCTCTGGACGCTGGCCACACTTGAGGCTCTTGTGCCTTTGGATAGCTACTGTCACGTGGAGTATGCCTGTGGCTCCTCTACATGAGGCCAAACACTGATTTAGTGCTTTGAGCCCTCAGCAGCCAGTGCGAAAGAAATCATGCCCAAGGAAGCTAACTTTTACAGGCCGTATTAATAGGCTATTCTCTTGGTCAGCCTTAATGCTATAAAATCCTGTTGTTGGACGTGGCAACTTTTGCACTTGTTTCTTGGTACGTTTTAGGGCAGTAAATTAAATCATCTGTTGTCCTGTGCAGATGTCTTTGCTGACTGGAAGCTAACCCCCTTTCCTTTCAATTAGAAGAGATTACTGATAGGTTTTTGTCCTGGTTTCGGCTGGGATAGAGTTAATTTTCTTCCTAGTAGCAGGCACAGCGCTGTGGTTTGGATTTAGGAGGAGAAGAATGCTGATAACACGCTGATGTTTTTAGTTGTTGCTCAGTGCTGCTTGTGCCAGGCAAGGGCTTTTCAGCTTCCCATGCTCTGCCAGGGGCACAAGAAGCTGGGAGGGGGCACAGCCAGAAGAGTTGATCCCAACTGCCCCAAGGGCCATTCCATACCATACGGCGTCATGGGCAGTATGGAAACTGGGGGGGTTGGCCGGGGAGCAGCGATCGCTGCTCGGGAACTGGCTGGGCATCGGTCGGCGGGTGGTGAGCAATTGCATTGTGCAGCACTTGCTTTGGATATTATTATTGTTATTATCATTATTATATTGTTATTATTATCATTACTATTTTCCTTTATTTCAATTATTAGACTGTTCTTATCTCAGCCCAGGAGTGTTCCTCACTCTCACTCCTCCGATTCTCTCCCCCATCCCACCGGGGCAGGGCAGTGAGCGACGGCTGCGTGGTGCTGAGCTGCTGCCTGGGGCTGAACCACGACAGTCTTTTCACCAGTCTGTTTTCAGACAAGTACGGTTTAGGAAGGAGTTAAGTACTCTGCACAAACATAGGAAGAGACTTGCCCTTTCAGCTCACCTGAGGAACCAGCTGTGTGTGAGGAGTGTAGAAAGTCAGTAAGAAGGAAGTGCTGGGCATAAGGCTGGGAGTTGTTCTCCACTGTTTCCCTAGGATGTGGGATTTGGAAACAGGAAGAGCTGTAGTGTGCTTGGCTGAATCACTTCACTGTTAAGTGGAAATTAGAAATTAGCGGTGGGGCCACAGGCTATAGGGACACTTTGTTGAAGGATAGGAAGCAGAAGAAACCACCGAGCCTTGTGGAGATGGAGGGCAGGACGACAGGCTGCCCAAGCACAGCTGATCGTGCGCTGGGGCTTAGGAGGTGAATGAGTGCCCGTGATCTTTTCTCTCTCGCAGTCTGTGCAGTAGCCATCTATAAACACCAGCTGTACTTTACAATTTTTCCTTGATGGTGTTAGCCTGCCTCTTTAATACACAGAGCAGGTAGGGATCTTGCCTCAGGATACATGCTACTTTCATCTCTGTAGTGGTTTTGAGTTTTGTCAATGCTCTTTAATACAGTTATTGAAGCTACTGATTTGGGGTCACTACAATATGTAATTTTTCTGCAATGTCCCTTTTTAGAGGCTTTATCTAAGAGCTGCTATGCTGGATTTTACTCAGCCAGTCCTGATTTTGGAGACATAGCATCTGGTCTTTGACCTTCACACCTTTTCTTAATTAGGAAATATTCCTGATTTCCTTGTATAAATGGCCTTTAAATAACCTATCATTAGATGAGCAAAGTGTGACAAGAGTTTGTGTTCATAGATTGTTACAATTTTTGAGGAAACCACTTTTTCTCTTTACTAAAGTTCTGGATAAGATTCTTAGCCAGAGAATGAACTTTTACTTGGTTTATACTATTAAAAAATGTTCTAAGTCAACTTAAATATTCTTTTTATAGTAGTGGAGATGTGTACTAAGAGTTGGGGCAGTCTGAAATGACAGGTGGGACACAAAAATACCGTGCAGAAAGAAATCAGAGTGTAAAGGCACAAATAACTGCATTTCAAATTAACCGTGTAATAAGGAACCTATTAATTACTGAAACTTTTGCCTGTTTCTCTTGTTAGAGGTCTATGTTTCTTTTGCATACCATATTTTTTCTCTAAAAGTTTTCTACTTGTATCCTTTGGTGTTCTAGCATGTTTTAATTTCACTGGCTGGTAATAAACATCCATTATACAATTATCCAGATTAAATAGGTTGAAATAGATTGTCTTTTACATATCTAGTCAAAGAAAGCTGAAAGTCTAATGCCAGCAGCTAAATTCAAGGAAGGTGTATGAGGAACCTTTTTGAACCTTGTGTTGCCAGAATAATTTTTAAAACCTGTTAGGACACTTCCTACAGTGCATTCTGCTGTGCTTTGTCTGCAAATCACGTCTTGCTGTACGAGATTTGACTCTACATGTAATGGAATAAATGTTTATTCCTAGATAGCTAAGAGATCCATGCTTCTACTAAACTTCATACGTTACCCCTGTAGATAACCACGTTGCTGGCAAAAGTCCTCTAATCCTCTCTTACTGTGCTCTCGTTAACGTGGGCAAGGTTTGCTTTTTCTGAAAGAGCACCTTCATCCCTTCCTCTCTGTTGTGCATCAGCGCAAGGTGAGACTTGAGCCTTGGTCCTAATTTTCACTCCTACCGAAACTTGTAGGAATCTTTCCTGACTTTTGAGCATAGAAAAGAATCATATTCTAAACTGGATCTATCTGAAAGGAAGGGAAACATGTCTACAGAGCAGTGTCTTGCTGGGTATCTTGGGTGCCACATCCATTAGTTCGTGTCAGTGTTCCACAGTGGTGCCAATGTTGGTCTGCTTGGTCCCATGGCAGATGCCACGTGCTGTCAAGGCCAATGGAGCTGCTAATGTTTTAGCTGATATGGTTTTGTTTTCATATAATTTTCCGGAGGTAATGCTTGGTTATTGAGGGGTCTTATCTAGAGGTATGGACACTTTAGTCTGATGGCATGAGACTGCAGAAATGTCATCATTCAAATCTTTAACCATAATTCACATCTTCTACAATTTTTGTTTTCCCATAGAATGGAGGATTTGATGAGAAAGGATTAAGCCTAAGGTTCCTCTTTGACTGTTTTGTCTCAACATGTTTGCCACAGCAAACGCTGAAGCTTTTGTATTTTTAGATACGACAGTCTAACAAAATGGATGCATTTTATTTTTCCCTTGTTATATTCTATATACGCCAGCAGCAGGTGGAAGCTATATAACAGGGAAAAACAGTTCCTTTTCAGAGCCATGGGAGCATAGAAGTCTTAAAATAATAATAATAATGACAGTGTTTTCCTTTTTGCTTTGCTACATAGAGAAGATATGAAAAAGAATTTGAAAACCCCTCATGGCTCTGTGAGAGGCAGATGCTGTAAAGGAGCCAGGCATTTAATGACAGAAACCAATGAGGTTTTAGTGGAAGCGTAGTTGTTTACTGCTCTGAGTACCTGGGTGCCCCTTGCTATCCTCTCTTAGATTCTTTCCAACGTACGTCTTGTAGGTAGCACTGGAAATTGCCAGATACGTTGCTTGGGACAAACCTTCCCAGAGCCACTGAGTAACTGGCAGTTCTAATTGTAACGTATGGTTTTCTTAGACAACTTGTAGTGCAGATCCTTAAACCTGATGATAAATTCACTGTAGGTAGGCTACTTCATTTCTGCAGTGGGTTATAACAAATACACTGAGTGTTTCAATTAAATGCTCTCAACTGATGAAAGTAGAGAGCATAGTTCCTTTATGCAGCAAGTGTAATAAATGAAGTCATGGCTAGAACCCAAATATGACTTCCTATTTCCTGTAATGCAAGACACTGGAAGCTGTCGCAGTTTCTTATAAAAATACTTCTCCGGTATTTGTCTGGAGGCGAAGATGCAGCCAGAGGACCCTAACCCCGGCACGTTCGTCGGGGTCCTCCCCAGGCAAGCGTGCTGCCCCATTCCTCCTGCCAGACACCGGGAAGCATAAACCATTGCAAGGCCCGGGCTTCTCTGGAGCGCCAAAACATTTCTTATCTTTTGAGCCCATACGCTAGAGACAAAGTCCAGGTTATGAGTCTGGTTCAAACACCATTACAGTTAAACAAAGAAACGTACTCTAAACCTTCTAAAACATTTCAATTTGCCTCATTGTGGGCTTGAGTCAGGTCTCAAGTAAAGACGATAAATGGGCCTGTTGGCTTGTATCAGGTGTCATAATTAAAACCCAACCAAATGAAAACCCAACCTATTCAACCTCTGTAGATTTCCTGTTACGCCTTCTCACATGTATTTTGGTGCCAATAAGGTATTTTTTAACTCTGCCCACCATTTATTCAGCCAGTAGTGTTTGTTTCACAACTAATCTATCATGCTAAGAGTGTGAAAAATACCTTTTTGTTCCCATTATTTGTTTTTAAAGATTGCCTGTGACAGTGAGTGATCCTTCTGCAGTTTTCCTTTCATCCCAAAGGGCCAAATTTTGTTTCGGTTTAATTCTTTTGTAACTGAATAGGTTTCAGTGGAGATCAAATCAGAGGAGAATTTGGATTCAGCCATTTTTGTTACATCAGGTTATATTCCTTTTAAAAAATAACTCAGTAGTTCCTTTAAAACACTAAATCTTTTGAATCAGATTTCCCTTTAGAAGAGAAACTGAAAATGTTTTCTAATGTCTTCAGCATAAACTTCACGGAGCCCTTTTTTTTTTTTTTTCCTCTTCTCTGAAAACCGACAGGTAGGAATTTGCTTAATCCAAGCTTCTCCTCTTTTACTTTTTAGACAGCAATATTGGCAATAGATCATCAATAATTCAGGAACTGTATTTAATTCCACAGTGCAAACCCAAAAATCTTTCATCTCTCAGTTTTGTTGTGAAATGGGAAAATTGATTTATTCTGGAATTCTCTAGCTGCCTTTTGACCTGCTGTCCTTCAGGCAAACATTCAGTTGTGATGATAGTAATATGTATTTTAGACTGTCCAGTAGTGATTTGCACACATACTTTCACTGCTTTGAATCTAATTAGAAAGTGCAATACAACCCATAATAAAGTCAGTACAGGCAACTTTGCTGTCTTAAAGCAAGAGCTTATAAGCCAGAATTAAAAAGTAAGAATTTCAAGCAGACGTAAGTGTCTCTCTTTCTCTGTCCTGGGATAAATCATTCTTCAGAAAATGCACGGTAGCTCATAACACAATACTACTTCTAAGCCTTTTTTTTTTTTTTTTTAAATAGCGAGTTATAACTATAAGCACTTACTGTTATGGCCTGGAATCTTTCTTTCAGCAATTCGGCTTCCTCCATTCTAGAAATCAAAAACAGACAAGTGGTGAAGGAAAATGGAATGAGACCATAAGCAAAAAGCCTCCTGGTGGAGCTACAAAAAAAGCTGAGCTGATATGATCCAATTCCGGAGCAGAAGGCGGCAGAATTTTTGACTTGTCAGGAGAGTCCCTGAACAGATGAGCAGATCAGTCCAGACAGACACATGTAATGAGGGTGTGTAGAGGAGGCAGACGTGGAGAGTGCTGGCATGAGTTGACTGACAAGTTGGAACAGTGGAGCACAAGCCCTTTTCCTTCAGAAGCTGCCAGCTCTTTGTTTTAATGTGCTCAGTTAGCGTGCCATTGCTTCTTTAACTGTTAAATGCCCAAACCAGAATCTTCCAGGACTGTGGTAGAAGTAAACTTTTATTACGTTCCTATTTCTCCTTCTTCCCTTTGTGTATGCTTCTGGGGATAAACAGATATTTTGAACTTGTTAAATATTCCTATTTCTTATGAAACTTATTTCACCTGTGTGTTTTAACCTGTTGTAATGTCAGCACTGCAGATGGCATGGGGTTTTTTGAGATGGCGGTTTTAATTTAGTTTCCTAAATTTTTAGAGAAGCTGTATTCATAGCTGCAAGAATGTTTTAGAATTGCTAACCTAAAGTAAAATAAACTTTAAGCGATCAGGTCTGTCTTTGAATGCAAGCGTTAATCTCTGCAATTACCGGTCAGCTATCTGGGACTCAGGGGGAGCTTTGTCTAAGTAAGGATTTCAGGATCATCATTTCAGTGTTACCAAGTTGAGTCTAAAATGCCAGTGGCTCTCACGCTGGATTTCCATTCAGCTGACTTGAAGGTTTTTTTTTTTTTTTTGCTGTGGACTTCTGCTGAAAACAGCATTATACTCCTTAAGGGATGGCGTACATTTTGACCTTTCCAATTACGAGTGGGAGTCAGCCTTCCAAAATCAGTCTAGGAAACTTGCAAAAGAAGTGGAACTGCCTCTATTAAAATCCAGTTCCAGGGAAAAAAAAAAGCGGAACTGCCTCTATTAAAATCCAGTTGTGGAAAAAATTCTAATCAAGACAAAGGTGAATTCAAACAGCATAAAGATGTAATGTGAATCTGGAATCCCTTTGTTACCCTCAGTATCATGTAACTTAAGTCTTTGTAAGGACACGGGCAGGAGAGTCGGTCAGCATGCTTGGCTTTTTTCCTGCTAATTCACCGAGCTGACTAAACTCAGCAGGATTTGGTGAGGGGCTTTACTTGACATGTCAGTACAGTGACCTGAATCTCGGTGGCAAATCAGGCTCATTGCTAGCAAACTCTGAGATCTTACAGAATTGAACACTTGGTGGTGAAGTTACATCCTCATAATTCAATAGGAATCGATATTTAATTTCAGTTTCCACCTTCCTAGTATGTCATCACTCATCCACATACGCAAGCAGACTATCGCCCTCCACACTGGGATTAAGGATGCATTAATGCTTTGTTTATACTGTGATCCACCCTGAGGTTTTGTTCAAACTTGCAAAGACCCCATGTTTTATTCCGCAGTGAAGGTTTGGTTTTTTGTTGGGTTTTTTTTTTTTTTTAATATTAATATATGCCTCATATGGTCAGCACCTGAAATTAAAAAAAATTACCACATAAAAGCAAATGTGAACTTCAAAGGCAAGTGTACTGAGGTATATCAAGAGACAGATTACATGGGAATTTAAATGCGTTCAGTTTATGGATTTGAGAATAAGTTCAACCACTGAATTATATTCTTGCTGCAGAAGCCAATAGAGAGACAGTGTTTCTGTTTAATCTTTCATAAGTTATATAGCCTGCCTTATTATACTTTGAAAAAAAACCCCAAACTTATTTCATCTTTGTCTTCTGCGAAGTTAATCTTAAAATTTAAGTGCATATGTGGACTCAAAATGTTTGAAAATATTTAAAGCAGCAAATGATTACATCAGAAATAAGGAAGTCTGTTCTGGGCCGGAATCTGTACTCCGATATAAATGGGATTCCATTCTCAATGGGTGGAGAAATGAGATCAGTATTTCAAGTCCAATTAGAATCAATGGGATTGCGTTGCTTTGAATTTTTATGGTCTAAAATATTTTGCTAACTTCATGCTCCAAAATTATTTAAATGATTTTAAAAACCTTACTTGTGGATGTTACATATTTATGGACCAGAGAAGTATTTAACATGTCTTTCAAAAAACCATATTTTGAAGTAACCTGAAGATGGTTTCTAAAATGTTGCTTCCCTTTTTAAGTGACCATTATTAAGAAAGTATTTAAAGCCCACTTTAAACACTTCAAATTGTTTAAATCATATTTATCCCCTTGCTAGGCAGGATTTGTTGTTCAGTCAATAGGTTGTTTTCTAGTTGTCTTAATCCTATTCTAAATGGGATTTATGTGCAAGAGAAGAAATGGGCCAGCTGTCATTTTGTCTGCCCCTTAAGCCTGCTTCACCAATAGGAGTAGCCACGGTGTTGTAGGGCGATCACCCAATCTGAACAGCTGTGTTTTCAGTCCACGGGATTCTTGGAACAAGGTTTTTCAGAACTTGCCTGCCAGAAATATACCCAGAGGAAACCATCTACCTATTCTGCAAGTTTAAGCAAAAAAAAAAAAAAAAAAAAATTCTTTGCTTTTGGAAGAATAATGTGTTAGCCTGTGTTTCTATAACTGGCAACTGTATATATTTCTTTTGGTAGAACAGATTCTCTGAGCTATACAGAAAATGTTTGTTGTATCACATGATGAGTCATACAGGTTGGATTTTTTTTGGCTTCACTTCTTCCTTTGTTCATTTCAATTTTGCACTGGGTACCTAATGTAGGAGTAATAATGGGAATCTAAAGAACAAGGTGAAACAGTTGCATTAGGAAGTCTTAAAAAAAAAAAATGGGTGGGAATTTAGAAGAATGCAACATCCTGAACCAAAATCGAGAAGTAGGACCACAGAAGCACTTTCGCAGCTGGAAATGCAAGTTCTGTTGTCCATTTCTGGAGCAAAGTCAGAGTATTGGCATAGAGAAATCCTATCACCTCAGAACTGTAGCGGCTGTCCCTGGCCATGCTCTACAAAGAAAAGCATCCTCATTTCTACTCTTACTCATTGCACTGGGATTTCTTTTGAAACAAACCATTAACCTAAGGTAACACATGTACAGTGAGTTATAGATTATTGTAGTAGCAAACAATTGCTTCTAAGAAGACACACCTCATTAAAGCTAAGGAGCAAGAAGCTTTCACTTCTTGAAAAAGTGAGTTTGAAATGAATGGAGTTGATCAGATCGCTATCAGTTGAAAACAGAGCCTATACTTTCTGGAAAGAGAGGTTAACGAGGGCATGAA